AGCGATGAGCGACGATATGGGATGATGCCGCGCAGCAGCAAAGTTGCCCGCCGCCTCTCTCTCAACTCGCGACTACTAGGACGTTCATCATGCTGCATTTCGAGTCACCTCCTGGCTCAGAGCTCAATTCAATATGTCGTGCCCGAGGCCCCAGTCCTAGCGACCAATCTCGTCCCCGAAAACGACTGCGGCAGCGCCAACAAACTTGGTTCAGCCCGCCATTACCCGCGAGCAGGCCAATCTCAGCGAGCAGCACAGGAACAAGCATCGGACAATACTACGGCGTCGGCGACGAGGATGCGCTGGGAAATCTCTTCGCGGCTGAGCCGCGGACATTTACAACTGCTCCACAGCCCCATGGATCGAGGGGCATCTATGAGTCGCAAGTCGAGCTCTGTTTTGATCACGAGATATACCTTTTGAATGATTACGCAGCCCAAGGTAGACAGTGGCAGCGGGTCACAGTTCCTCTGCCAGGTCCAGTAACCACCTCAGCGCCGTCCAACCCTCCACCGCACTCGTCACAGAAGCAATCGTTGCCTTTTAGGACCGAGTTTCAATCTGCCCTAAAGCTAGTACAGGAAGTGATTGGGACAGATCGCAAGCTTACTATTGAGCTCGCCCGGTCATATGAACGAGTACGGCAATGGCGAGAGCTATGGGGCTGCTCGCCACTCAGTTCGGGTGCGCTTGAATCGCCTCCTCCATACTCACCGCCTCGAGAGCCCTCCACCCGACCGCTGTCGCATCCAGAAACCAGATCTTCTCCTCGGCGTATTTCCTCGTCCCCCGATCCGAGTCTGATCCCAAATCCACCGATACCGGGCGACATTTTCCCAACAATCGACGACCTCTTCGAATCGGTCAATTCGTTTGCGAAGGCGAACGGATTTGGCATTGCGAAATATAACGGATACTCGTACAAGGGTCGAAGGGTCCGGTATTCTCTCAGGTGCGATCGGTACGGAGATACTAAGCCGAGTCGAGGCGCAGGTCTTCGGCAACGCAAGTCTCGGAAGTGCGGATGCAAGTGGATGGTGATAGCTGAAGCTAGACAAGAGAGCAAGTGGGTGCTGCGACAACATCCAGACTCAGCACACAGTCAACACAACCATGGGCGTAGCATTAACCCGTCAGCGCATCCTTCCCACCGACGACTCACTGGACCAGTCAGGGCAAGTATTGAATCGGCAAGCCGTCGAGTAGGTATCCGGGCCCGTGACGTACGGGCCGTGGTCCACGAGCAGCACCCCGCATCAACCATGACGCAAAGGGACATCTACAATGCCCGGGCTCTCATCAACCGAGACAAACTGAATGGCTATACTCCCACCGCGGCACTGATCAAGCTGTTTGACGAGCTGGACATTCCCTATGTCGCCAAGTGGGCGGACAACGAGCCAAGTCGTCTCGTTGGTCTTGTATGGACCTTTCCTTATTGCCTTCAGATGTGGAACCGGTTCCCCGAGGTCATCAGCTTCGACAACACATACAACACCAACCGCTTCAAGCTTCCACTATTCCAAGCAACAGGGCAGACTTGCCTCGGCTCGATCTTCAACGCGGCTTTCGGCCTGATCGACAACGAAAGACGCGAAGGGTTCCAGTTCCTTTCTGAGAGCATTCGTCAACTCTTAGAACAGCACTCCATTCGCCAACCGGACGTCATTATTACCGACTTCGACGAACAGATAAAAGCCGCCCTAAACGATCAGTTCCCCGACGTCCAGCAGCAGCTCTGCATCCATCACATCAATTCCAACGTCCAGCTCAAGTCAAAGCAGAAGTGGGTCGAGAATCGCGGGAGTAGCAGTAGCCTTGATAGCAGCGACGGGGATGATTATGCTCCACAGGCAGAGGCTGAGCTCAGTCCGAAAGATCGACAGTTGGTCCACGCACCGACAGCTGAGGCTATACCTCACAGCTATCAAGGAGTATTCATGATGTGGAAGCTTGTCATGTTTGCCGAGACTGAGGACGATCATGAGAAAGCGTGGGAAAACCTCTGCAGGGAATTCGACGACCAGAGGGCTATCCTGCGGTATCTCCATGGGACCTACATGCCTATAAGAGCACAGTGGGCACGCTGTTTCATCCGCAAGTATCGCAACTTTGGCATCCGCGTCACATCTGGCACAGAGGCAAGCAACAACAACATCAAGAGCTACCTTTTGAACGGCATGAGCCACCTGTATCGACTGGTCGAAGCAATGCACGACATGATGAAGGATCAAGAGCGGGACTTCAAGGACGCCTGCGCAGCAGACGAGGTGCTCACCGCCCGCGACTACATCGGCTCAAGCTCGGAGTACCTTGGCGAACTTCGGACAGCAATGTCATCAAAGTGTCTTGGTCTGATCAAGAAACAATATCGCTTGGCTCGCAAAGCCATGCCAACCGGTAAGGATCCGTTCCCGGGGCCTCTCGGGGACTGCAACGACGACTGCTCTGTTGCTGTCGAGCTGGGCATACCCTGTTGTCATAAGATCCACCTGAAGCTAGGGTCTGCCACAGCCTTCACAAAGTGGGAGGTCCATCCCCGGTGGCGACTACGCGAGTCATCCTCTCACGATCCATACCGGCGGATTCTCGACCCCAAGATTGCAACTGCCCTCCGCGGTAGGCCCAAAAACACCACACAGGTTGTTCCATCGAGGCTAGCTATCGGAGTCGGCAGCCGGCAGCGGAACAAACCGACCAGCCACGGCCCGCCGCGGCGTGAGCGAGGGCGGCCACCGTGGACTCTAACAAAGTCGACCCCGGCTGGAATGGAGCTCGAGGCGAGCCAGGCGGCCAATAGCCAGGCCAGCGTCTCAAACCAGCACCCGACTCGCAGGCAGTCGGGTATCCTCGGGGCGGCCAAACTACCGGAGTACGAGCCAGCGGACGAAAGATGCAGCCCAGCATCCGGAGACGAAGGAGTCAGTGGGAGTCGCATGAGAGCGACGAGATTCTTTCTTCGATAGAAGTGGGAGGAAAGAAGTAGATAGCTTCCCTTGGGAGCGTAATGTCATAGGCGATTTGTTTGTATCTCTTTATCTCTGTGAAATAAATGCTTTGTTTCGACGCTTGCACGCAAGATGTTCTGGACACGTTCGTAGCCTGCTGGCTTCTGTCATGAAATGAGGATGTCTGGGCATGTTAAGCAAGCTGGCTTCACCGCCTTCACCGGGAGGTATTTATGGATCTGGAAACATTGGCCCAATCAGATGTTATAAAAACCCATGCGTCCGTAAGGCCATGCGTCCGTATCAATTCATACATGCGTCCCTATCAATTGCCAATGAAAATGTGTCCCCGACGCACAGTAAGGAAAGACCCACAAAGGTCTATGTCGTCCTGGAGTAGCCCGGTTCCGAGATAATTTTCTGAAGCGTCGACAAGACTGCTGAGCTCAGCCGGAGTCAGTGGCCGAAAGACAAGAGTTACGACAGCAAGAATCCGAAAACAGAGGTCCGCATCCTCCTTCAAAGCCCGGATACGGTCCAGCATGCTGTCATACATTGAATAGAGCCTTGGTGGGAAAGATTTGATCGACGCCAGCACTTTACTGCGGCGGACCTTCTCTAGATTTTGGCAGACCAATGCAACCCAGAGGAACGTGTTGTTTGCATTTGACGACAAATGCTGCTGGACCGCGCCCTTTGTCCTGCCATCGTATCCTTTCAAATTCGCTAATCGATTCACCTGATACTGAATGTATGCGTTGACAGCTGATGAGATAGATTTGTCGTTGAGCTTGCAGACATATGGTCGCTATGCTGGCGGCAGCTACTGGATTCTTCCCGGTATCCGGCAATCTGCGACTTGAAACGACCCACTTGACACGGAGCGAAGACTGCTAGTACTGGACGGCCACGGGAGTCATGAGACAGTGGACTTCATGTATCTATGCTACCAGCATAAGATTCGTCTTCTTTTTCTGCCTCCTCACACCTCTCATGTGTTGCAACCTCTGGATTTGTCTGTCTTCTCCCCTCTGAAGCATTACTACCGCAAACAGGTCGGATTTCTCAGCCTTTTGATCGATTCGAGCGCGGTCGGCAGCAAAACTTTCTTTCTTGCTACCAGAGAGCTCGCGAGCAAGCGCTCACGCCGTCCAACATCAAGGGTGGTTGGAAAGCGACGGGTTTGTGGCCGGTGTCGGTGGCGAAGCCACTTTTGAGCCCTCTCCTGCTGGAGAACAGCAACAAGCGGAAGAAGGATGCGAAAAAGGCTCACGATGCATTCAGGAGCCCATTTGCTCCCAATGAATGGCAATCAAACGCATCGCAGATTGCGTGGTCGACTCCGAGGCGGCCCCAAGCTCTGAAGGTGCAAGTGCTTCAGTTCAACCAGCTCGATGACGATGTGCCCACGAAGCGGCTGCTGTTCAGGAAGATCACAAAGTGATTTGATGAAAAGGACGGCCCCTTGGCAAAAGCAAAATTACAGATTCAGGCACTGGAAACGCAATTGGCGGCCGTGAAGCCGAAGAAGAGGAAGAGGGTGGAAACGAGCCCGAATTCGAGGTTCGCCGACATTGAGGCGGTGCGGCGGGCGCAGGAAGAGGTCAATGCAGCTGAGAATGAAGACTCTAATAGAACCGAAGCTGAGCTATCCGAAATTGGTGACGATTGTATTGTAGTGCACGCCGCTGGGCAGTGAGAAGCGATTGAATTGATGGTGGTGAAATCGATGGGGTTTTTTGGGCAATTGCTAGACGGGCCGAACCAGTTTGCTACGGAGGCCGCGTTACGGACGCCGTGTGGCTAAACTTCCAAATCGGGCAGTCCTGCATTCCATGCCACGCGCGCTGCCCTTTCCACCAGATGGCTGGCTTTCGTTCCGGTGCTTCTTCCCAGCCATCCGTAGGGAGTCGCTCAAGCAATCGAAATATTGTCGACTGCATTCTATCGTCATCGTACACAAATGCACGGAAGTCGACACAAGCACTCGCCATACGAGGTCTCTTTCCTAGACGACATCCACGTCAGCCTTTCCGCAATCCAAGTCACGACATGACCGTTACTGCTGTCGCACCCGATGCTGTCTTTGACCCCGAGCTTCACTACGGCGATGGCGACGACAACGCCTTGTACAACCTATTTGCGACATGGCCGGAGAACTATTTCAGCAGCCTTCCTAAGCCACACGGCAATCGCGGAGTCGACGAGCCCTATTGGGAATTACGGCGGTCACGAATCTTCCTGGACGACTGCTTCCGCGGTCGCGGAACGCGGCGGCTGTTCACCCCTGTAGTTCCAGGCCCGGACAAGCTTGAGAGAGAGCGCTTGCACGAACAAGAATATTCAGACGGTATCGAGCAACGCACGAGAACCACGGTCACTTTCCGGCCCGCTCTATAATTCGCTCACGAACAGGCCAAGTTTGACGCTTCACTAGCTCTGGAATTGGCTCAGTATTGCCCGACGCTTGCCGCGCCTCGAGCTGCTCCAGGCCGCCAATACCCAACATCAGCGATCTTATTGCCGACGTAAGCGTCAGCGCTGCCGCCCCCGCCGCCACCAACGCAAGAGGAGTCCGAAGAATGGGACGGTCTATCAGGCACGGCATCTGACAGTCACTGTGCCTCGGTGTATATCCCCAACCAGCCAATTCCTGGCCCTGCCATTTTTTTGAGGTGCCCAAAACAGGGGGTGCCCATTTCTATGTGCAGGGACATGGTCGGGACAGGATTTACAGGCTACCCGACCGCGCTTTCGCTGCCAAGGCCCATCGTAGCCCTAACAGCACAGAGGAAGACCTTTGGAAAGTTCATATTCCTCTGCAAAGCCGGTCTTGACAATTGCACTTGGGCCTTTAGCTTTCCTTCGGAACCAAGGAGCTATTAGGCAATTGGAGGGTTCGCCATTCCAATCACGGTGACCGGTTGCGGAGGTTTTTCTCCCTGAAGGCAAGCTGCGCGACAGCCTCTGATTCCTTCCGAGGGTTTTTCCCTGCCGCCGCTCTTGGGGCCATTTCTATTGCTTGGTTACTGGAGCATAGGACTGCGGCAGCAGCGTTGGCTGAATGAGCGAGAGAATTCTGACGGTGAAAACCAAGGGTTGACCATTGTGGCTATCGCCACGCGCCTGGACGTCCCGCTGACTGGCACCTGGCTCTGACAAACAGCGCCTTCGAGCCAATGAAATGCTGGATGGACAGTTGTGGAGTTTGCTGCGGGGGCTAGTCATAGTCACTTGTACTGCGTGCTTAGCGAAAACCTACCATGCGGGAGGTAGGAAAGCCGCCCCCGGGTTGGACCTTGACAGCTCGGCCTTGCGGGGTCTTGCAAGCAGCACAGGGTTACGCTCTCCGTGGCAGTGTTTCTAGACAGTCTAGCTCAGCACGTCCTGTGCCCCATTGGGACCTGAGCGGCCATATCCCGTAACCCCGTTGTCGTGAGTGGTTGACATGTCGCCACTGGGTGGTCGTGGCTGCAGTATCACCCGACGGGTAAATGTGGCTCAGGCTAAACCGAAACAGACACGAGGCTGAGCCACGTCCCTTGCCTCGGAAAGCCGTCGGCGTGGCGGCCGAAGACATATGGTGATGAGGGCACAGTACACCGTACCGCAACGATGTGGTGAGCCGCAAGAGGAAGCTGAATCTCGGAAGTCATCGGGTGCGGACACTGACACGTCGACCCCGCGCGTCACATGTAGCTCCAAGCTCGCGTTCAGCACCTAGTCAGGCATTTCTGCGAGACAATCGAGGCAGACACTGACTGGCACGATGCGGTTGACACGGGAATTTGCTCCATCCCCGTCAGTGAAGATATCGAGGCGAGGCCCTTTGTAACGCAGTTTCTGCCTGTGTGGACTCGTCAGGGCCAGAATTATTTCCTGACGATGCATTTGCACGGGGACGGTTTCACGGCTATTCCCATTGAACCCCCCGTGGTCCCTCGCGGCACAGGTCGCGTGCGTCTAGTTATTCATGCCGGAAATACTGAGAAGGAAGTCGAGGGGCTGGCGGCATCCATCTGCAGGTGGGCTCGTGAGATGCTCGACATCCAGCAGAGCAAGGCGCCAGGAAACGAAATCCCGAGCGCAATGCGCAAGGTGTACGGGTTGGCGCAGGCCGCCAATGTTCAGAAGATGGATCTGTCGCAACTTGCAGCGAATCCCTTTCAGTAATTGTCGCTCAGCCTAATGCCATCTGTTTTTACTGGAGATGAATGTTGGGCCCCGAGGGGGCAGATCTCTCTCTCAACTCTGTTCCAACTCAGTGACACGCGACGTGATTGCCAAGGTCCAAAAACGCCAAATTGACGAACGCCGTGGCCCGATCCAATCGGGTTGGACGCTTGGCGATGGACGGGACCGCACGGAACGATCCGTACACCAAGCTTGATCCATGCATCGAGCCCCAATACGAAAGTTAGTGCTGAGAACAATCCGCAGAATGGCATCTTTGGGTTCTGTCAGCGGCACGCGAACAGGGGCGGGAGACGGATTCCGCATCGCAATCCTCGCCGCGTCTAGGTCGGGTCTAGCCCTTCCGCCGCGCCCGAATCCAGTTGTTATGTTGCATCAAATGTACGCAAGATCCTGCGCCGTGAACCCTTGCTCGACCGTGACAAGGAGCCAAATCCTCGGACAACTGCCGCCCTTTTGCCTTCTGGAAAGAGCCAGCCACGGGTAAGACGGCACCTGGTCCGCGTCGGATCTGCAGGGTTGGGAGAAGACCCAGTGTCGTCGCAGCGGCCGAGATGCGCCTCTCATGATCTGTGGCCACGTTTGCAGATACTGTAAAATACATAACACATGTGGTTCTGAAGATAAAGTTTATCGAGAGTCGATAGCCTGGCACATTCGATCTATTGCGCTCCCATGTGATCTTCAATGTCTGGCGGTATGCGCCGCTGTGATCCAGCTGCTGGGGTATCTGGATCCCTGGACTATGCACGAAAGTATTTCTTGCTCGTCTCTTTATTACGATGAGATTAACGTTTCGTGTCTGCGAGGACGCAAGTTGGATTTTTGCGTCTCTTTGACCTGGGCCAGTTTTATCTGGTGTTTGCCGCCGCCGCAGCACCTGCGTGCTCCCGGTCAAGGAACCAGCATGTCAGAAACGTGCTTAGTGCTGTGCTCGTGCTCTTTCTTGCCGGCGAAGATGAATATTCGATCGCACTCGGTGCATCTATAGAGCTCTGATTTGTGATGTCTCTCCATCCTGTCACGTTGGAGAGCCAACCCGCACCCGAGCTCGCACTCCACCTTCTCGCGATAACGAGCCTGTCTCTTTGTCCGCGTGCTCACTTTTTCACCGTTATGGCCTGTTGAGTTGTGGTGTTTCAGCCACGCCTCGCCAACGAAGATAGTTTCGCAGCAACGAACGTGTGTCTTCTTCCGATGACTTCTGTGGCCACTTGCTGTGTAGAGTTGCCCACAAATGCAGAGCACGGGTTCCATGATAGCAAGCTCCGATCTCGTATCCTTGATTAGGAGGAGACTCGCAAGTCCTGGGCGGCGTCGCTGGTTGCGCGAGGGGCTTGAGATTACGTGGACTTGAATGAGCGTTGCGTTGGCGTGGCGTGGAAGGGGGAGCGTTGCACGGAAGGGGAAATGTTGCGCGGAAGGGAAAATGTTGCGTGGAAGGGAAAATGTTGCGTGGAAGGGAAAGCGTTGCGTGGAAGGGAAAGCGTTGCGTGGAAGGGAAAGCGTTGCGTGGAAGGGAAAGCGTTGCGTGGAAGGGAAAGCGTTGCGTGGAAGGGGGAGCGTTGCGTGGAAGGGAAAGCGTTGCGTGGAAGGGGGAGCGTTGCGTGGAAGGGAAAGCGTTGCGTGGAAGGGAAAGCGTTGCGTGGAAGGGAAAATGTTGCGTGGAAGGGAAAGCGTTGCGTGGAAGGGAAAATGTTGCGTGGAAGGGAAAGCGTTGCGGCGAATGATTACATCCAAGTCTTGACACTTCTTCTTCCTTGGTTCTGAATTTCAAAATCGTTCACTGCCTGCAAGTCGCCGCTGTTGTCGATACCTGTGACGTATGCGAGAATATTTGGCAAGGGATGTGGTTGATTGTTTAATATTTGAATTGGTAGTGTTTTATAAGAATAACGTACAGTACGTTACCCTGTCCATACAATAGTATGGAAAGGGTATTTCCATACTTGGGTATGGAAAACCACCCTGCTTCACATCCAGGCGGGAAATCACAGCGTCAGGGTCAAGCGGAGCAAGTCCTGCGCCTCGAAAACCTCCCCGGATGTTCTTTTCTGTCATTGCCTCCTTGAATGCCGCGAAAAACGCGGGAAAGAAGTCCTCTTTGGTGATGTGGCTTGTACCGGCCCTCATCTTCTTCTCGATTTGCCGGCCATACGCTTGCTTGAGTGGGCCAAAACAGCCAACGTCCAGAGGCTGGAGTATATGAGAAGAGTGAGGAGGCATACAGAGCGTGACGATGTTGTTCTCCTTGCAGTAGAGCTCGAAGTCCATCGAGTGGTGACTTTCATGGCCGTCAAGGATGAGGAGGCGATAGTTGCCCGAAGAGCGCGCTTTGGTGTGCCTGTCAAAATGTCGAATCCATTCAAGGCCTCTCTCATTTGTGGTCCAACCGTTATCAGACGTGGAGATCACCCAGTCTCGCGGTAGATCGCTGTCCTCGTACCAGGTTGAGAGGTGGCACTTGCCCGAAACAATGATGAACGGTGGGATAGTCCAGCCTTGAGAATTGACGCCCTGGATCACGGTAACCCATTCCCGATTTCCAGGCTGCGCTAATTTCGTGTTAGAACGCCTGTCTGCACTTGTGACGACCATGCCTGTCGAGATGATGCCCATCATAAAGCCGGTCTCGTCGAAGTTGTAGACATCCGACTCCGCGACGCCGTACTTCG